AAAAAAAAAAAAAAAAGATTTGATGGAGCTGTCTCCAAAATTAAGAAGAGGATAGAAGAAGCTGACCCAGACACTCAAGCAGGGCTAATTATTCCCATTTTACAGATGTGGAAGACTGAGGCCTGTTGCAAGTGCAGAGCTCAGCCCTTGAACCCTCTGTCCCCAAGAGCTCCATGCAGGTGCCACAGGATGGAGAAGACCTTGCTGGCCAACCCTGGTACCACGGCCTCCTGTCCCGCCAGGTACCACCCACAGCAAGGCCTCGGCACCATCTAGTGGGGAGTCTCTCCCACCTTTGCTGAGGACTCCTGGGTCCCTGGATGAGGGACTTAGTGCCAAGGTCTATTGGGACAGATGGCAGAGGGCTGGGGACTGTCTTGAAGGTTGGCTGGTTGGGGACTGTCACTATATTTAAATTATCACTTTCTTTGGGATGATGAGATTGGTGATGAAGCTTAAGGAGAGTCCTAATGCCCCCCAAACCACTCTTGGCTCAGGCTGTCTCTCCCTCTGAACTCCATCTACCTCCTGGTATTTCCCTCTAAATCTGAGGCTCCTGAGCCAGGCACGGTGGCTCACGCCTGTAATCCTAACACTTTGAGAGGCCGAGGCAGGGGGATCACTTGAAGTCAGGAGTTCAAGACCAGCCTGGACAACATGGTGAAACCACATCTCTACTAAAAATACAAAAATTAGCCAGATGTGGTGGTATGCACCTGTAGTCCCAGCTACTTGGGAGGCTGAGGCAGGAGAATCTCTTGAACCCAGGAGGCAGAGGTTGTAGTGAGCCAAAATTGTGCCACTGCACTCCAGACTGGGTGACAGAGTGAGACTCTGTCAAAAACATAAATAAACAAACAAATAAATCTGAGGCTCCCACCTCCATCTGAAACTCAGTTGTCACCCCCAAAAATTCTGGGACCCTGAGCATCTAATGAAATCATGAGAGGCAGTATAGCTTAATAGTTAAAAGCCCGGGCCGGGCGCGGTGGCTCAAGCCTGTAATCCCAGCACTTTGGGAGGCCGAGACGGGCGGATCACGAGGTCAGGAGATCGAGACCATCCTGGCTAACAC